CAGTGATTCTCAAACTTTTTCGATCCACCGCCCCCTTTGTTCCATAAAGTTATACCCAACGCCCCCTAACCCATTTTCTCTTGTGTGAGAAAAGGATTGGAAATATTCTTAGGAAAACTTTTCTATGAATCTCACACTTTGTGTCCTTACTGTACATTGTTCTCATCATCTGGAAACCATTAAACGCAATGTTTCCTCTTATCAGCCCCAATTTTGCCTTTGGTCACCGTTCAATACCCTGCCTCTATCATAGATCTATTCATCGCGCCAGAAGGGGGCGTTATTGCTTACTTTGAGAAACGCTGAGCTAAAATAAAAGTCAATGTGTTAGAAATATTCAAGTTGTTACCTTCAATAAAAAATATATAAAATGTCGACATTTTATATATATTCCGTCGAATTTTTATATATAGAATTTGTCTGCAGTCGCTCCTCTATATTTCCTTAACGCCCCCCAATTCTCTTTGAGCCTTCTACTGCCCCCTGAAAGCCTCCAGCGCCCACAAGGGGGCGTTATCGCCCACTTTGAGAAACGCTGATTTAGAATATTAAAATTTTAAATAGAATATTTCAACTAATAGGAGAGTATTTCAATATCCCGTTCTTATTAGTAAGAAATATTGTATATTTAAATCCTGATATAGAATATTGTATTTGTTTTTTCTATTAATAAAAGAACGAAAGCAATATTCTAAATTAGAATCTTAAATATATGTAAGAAATTGAGGAAAAATATAAATTGTCGATTCGAATAACTAACATTTAAAAAATGTTATAGAAATGCTAAAGTTTTTAACATTTTAACGGTTTCGTAGTAAAAATATTAGCATAATTTTATAAAATATGCTCCTTTTAATTATTTTTAAATATAAAATGTTTATTCCATGTTGAAATTTTTAAATCAATCTATTGTATACAATAAAGAGGCATTCTAAAATAAATTTAAACTTACAGAACTAAAAAACTTACAGAACACAAAGAAATATTATTAATGTAAACAGAATATTACAAGATAATAGTCGTAAAACCAAATGTGTTTATCATGTTTGTGCATTTTACAATTAAAAAAAAACCTTAAAAACATTATTTATTACTTGAAAGGTATTTAAGTGTTTAGAACGTCATGGCAGACATGGAGAAAGCTTAATTACGATGACGTCCATTCATTTACTTGAATGACCAAAAATAACACGCCAATGACGTCTTTGACCAAACGTTTGCGTCATTGTCAAAACACATTAAACATTTATGTTCTTCACTAGATATCATGATCTTTTCAAGCGGATATTGTCGACAAAGACTGGGCATTGACATGAGTGGTAGTCAATCATTGATCATTATTGAATATCAGTAAAACGAATTGTTTTTGTGGTTCATTTTTTCCCTAGAGCATCATACACCTATGATTAAGAACATTTATTTAATTATATAACACAGTAATACATAATCTATTTATTTTTGGGAACATCCTGGGTCACAACAGTTAAAAAATAAATTAATGTAAATCTAAATAAGGCACAAACTCTGTTGTATGGCCGATATTACTTTTATACTTCTTGGATAAGATGGTATGGAACTACCTAATAAAGTCTATTTTATATTAATAAAAGAATAAGAACCAAAGTAATATTGTACACCTTTCAACTTGTCAAAAGAGATTGAACCAATCTAATGAATTTGAATCAGATGAATTTGATTTAGATACAACTGAATCAAATTCATATATGATATGAAACTTATATGAAACTTTTTTAAAAAAACTGTTGTGTTTTTCACAAAATTTAATTACAGTATATTCACAAAATCACACATATGTATGAGTGAATCACATATATTTTTTTTTAATCTAGAAATGCTTTAATGTCAAAATCAAAAAGATTGACTTGAATAATTATTCAAATAATCTCATTTCAAAACGGCTTTAGCAAAGCCAAAAAAAGAAAAAACGAATGCCATTTTCAAGGTTTATGCCCGTTGAGAATTTTGATCAATTAGTCAAGAACTGTAACACTAAACTTTTAGCCAATTTCACCGAGGATCAAACCCAGAAGAATTGTGTAAGATCCTTTACATAGCATATTTTTCAATTAGGAAAGATGATCTTTTTAATTAGAAAATTATTTATTGAAAAAAAAAATCAAATAAGACAAGCTATATACACAATATGTTGAAAATATATCAATACTTTAAAATTTTGTTAGCTTCGATTCTACTTTCAGACTTCGATTATTTCTTATCTACTTAATGAGAAAGCGGGAAGGTTTCAATATGATTCACGTAATAATGGAGTTATAAAGGAAAAACGCAAGACATTTCTTCTTTTGATATTATAGATTTGAGAAATTTGTCACAGGATAATTTTGCTATTTTGATATTAATAGTTGTTTATTGTTTATTGAATTGAAATTATTTTTGAATTGATTCTTTTCCTTATAAATGAGTTAATAACAAAATATTTTCTGTCACAATTTTAGTTTCAAACTAGGATAATGTCAAAAAATTGTTTTCGCAAGTAGAAAGAATTTTTACAGACGTTATACTTGTTTATAAATAGAAATTTTAAAGTAAAGAATTATATAATCAACTAAAATAAACTATTATTAATTTATGTACATTAAAATAATTTTAATAATTAATACTTTAATAAGCACTAAAAATGCAGTTCCTTCAAACTATATTCTTTGCATTATAGTTTGATTATTCAATCATTACAAATATACGATGATAATAAATATAAGCAAAATAGATATTTCACACACACACACTCTCTCTCTTTCCAAGTATCGTATCTCTGTATTAAGTAATCACAATTTTGCTATTTCCGTGTCATAGCAAGGAATACCATGTCTTGTTCTTTAATGACAACTTATCAATTGTACTTTGATATGTAAATAAAGAAACGTATTTGTATATAATAGAATAACGATGACTTCAATGAAAGACTAATCGTGATAAATGAATTGACTTAAGTAAGAGTTTGATTGAATTGATATCACTATATATTTATTTAAAATAGCAAAAATTACTGTTATATTTATTAAATTTTCATTAAATTATCAATTATACGTATTAATGGTATAAATTATACGCATTAATGGTATAAAACTAAAATAAAATAATAATGTTTTGAAAATTTTCTTTTGTTAATTCTTTATTCAACTTTTTAAACTTTAAAATATAAATCCATTAAAATTTTAGAATAATTTTTTAAAAATCAACTAAGACATTTTTAAATATATAATATAATGTAGTTAAGAAACGGCTATTCATATTGTTTACTTCAATAGAAAATTAATAAATGAAAAAGTTATATATAAAACAATTTTATTTAAATTTAAAATATAGTCTACTAATTAAATATCAAACTCAGCTTCTTTTAAAAACACTTAATAAAACTTAACACCTATCTGAAGATGGCTTATTCCATTAGGCTGAAAACGTTTGTGTTTAAATAAAGTATTCTCAGCGATAGAAGGTGTTAAGTTTTATTGTGTTTAAAATATTCAAAA